TATGTATGTATGTATGTATGTATGTATGTATGTATGTATGTATGTATTATTTACTTGCATTTGTTTTCCTGGTACCTGGCTCATGCGTCTGGTGTTGTGTGTGTGTGTGTGTGTGTGTGTGTCTTTCTGTGATCAGACGGGGCTGGTTTCCCTCATCCTACTGCAGACCGTACGCAGAGTCGGTGATGTCAAACAGGTAAGAGGACGCACCGGCCCGCCGGTAGGGTCGGGCCCGGTGGAGGCCTGTCCCCCCGCTGAGGCTCCACCCGCTGAGGCTCCGCCCCCCCTCTCCCAGCAGCAGCCTGAGCACGCCGGTGCGGAGGCGGAGCGTGGCCAGCCTGCCGGAGCAGGAGGAGGAGCAGGAGCCCGTGCTGCTGCCGCCGCCGGACTACAGCGACGCCGTCCCCTCCAGCCCCTCCAGCCCCTCCCTGACCACGCCCTCATCACAGAGCCCGGTCAGTACCCACCTGTGAACCACTCTGAATTCTGGATCCACAGCACAGTTTTAGATACGGGAAGAGCAAAGGCCTCAACGTCGGCATGCCGAACTTAAAAACTGCTCTCAGAAGTTCCTTCATTTGTAGCATCAACGAGGAGTTCACCCAACATTTTCGATATGTGGAGGTGTTGATTTATAGAAAGGAAGCCTTCATATCTTTACAGGTTTGGCTGCAGATTTACATACATGTAAATCCTTCATTGTGGACTATGTAAGCCATGTTCACAGGTTTATATGTGTACTGATATGCAGCTCTTCAATACACATGTTAACACATTAGCACACATGGAGGGAATCTGAGTGTATGTATTGAAATACTTCATTTTCTAAAGAGACACACTCCAGACTTTCGCTCCGTTCTGGGACAGGCTGCTCGTTTCCTGGTGAAATATTTGCAGGAGTTGAGCTGTCACATGTGACACGCCCACGCCACCAAACCCCATCACACGGGCCGAACCTTAAGCCCGACAAGTTGTGTCTTATCGACGGCTCCTTAATGCGCAGTCATCCCTCCACAACCAGGAGGACTCCTCAGGGGCTCAGGGAGTTTTGAGTAGGTTTTTTGGCTGGAGGATAAGCTCCAGTTAGAGAGGGAGGCACAGAGGACAAAAGGGAACAGGCACAAATTTTCTTTATCGTTACACAGTGTCATCGGATGAATTATCAGTCCAGCCGGCGTACAGGCCATCATCAACTTCCTCACCCCACTGTCCTCTGGATCTGCTGCCTCAGGGCTTCTCCTGCAGAGCAGGGGGGGATTTGACCGATTCACCTCTCAGTCCAACATTCTCATACACTCACGCTCCTTTTTTTTTTTCTTGAAAAAGGAACCCAACTTGGATTTTTTTAGATATTCAATTGAGAGTACTCCAGTACAGTTCCAGATCTCATGTGATACGATTGTTTTAGTTCGACTCGACCACTAGGAGTTAAAGTTGCTAGAGGTCAAGTCAACATTCCTTATGATAAATTTTCTCTAAAATATCTTAAGGCATGTTTATCCTCCATATAGGTTTTTGAACAGATCTTTATAAGGAAATTGTTCCCAGTATTGAACATGAGAGCTTTTTAATGAACTGATTAACTGAAAGCTTTATGGACAGTTTAATAAGAATTAGGCAGGGTACACCTGTAATGTGGGAAGATTTGTTTTTTTAAAAAGACAAAATTGTGATGTTTTGTAACAGTTGGGCTTTGTCTGCCCTCTAGTGGAAGTGTGGGCTAACGCTTGTTTCCTGATCTGAACACAAGGAACTTTGTGTCCCCATAAAGACTTCTGATACAGATAACTCCAACTAAAATACACCAAAAGCTGAGCATAGCCACATCACCTGAATATATTGTACTCGTCCTTTATCACGTCTTTAAATACCTTAAGAATAGATTGAGGGGGTCTCAGCTCAAGTGGATCTGATCTGAAACAAAGTGAAGACAACGTGATTTTTTTTCTTCTGACTTGCAAATTACGGTATATGATGTCATGCTTCAGAGTTATCTTAATAGCCATATCATTTTTATCAATTCACATAGTTTTAATATTCAATAATATTATTTTTTTTCGTCTAATGAGATGAATGACATAGGGACAGGAGTACGTGTACTGTCACCAGCTTTTCGGGATCGTCTAGATTCCTGAATCTGAGGGTTTTCTTTTTTTTTTGTAAAGCTGCATGTCACAGCTCAGCTGTGGGGATTGGGAGGGGTGGAGGGGCCGCTCTTGACGAGAGATCTCCACAAACCCGTCCGGCAACTCTGGAGGGAGCATTTGAGTTTGACTTTTGCCTTATCCTTTCCTCTGGATCCTCTCATGCCTGTTTTCTGTCTTTGACAGGTGTCCCTGGTGAACGGGAGTGGGAAGGCTCCTTTTCTTGGGTGAGTGACATGAGGCAGTGACTATAAGCTCCAAGTTTTCCAAGACTTTGTAGAGCAATCAAAGTTTTGTGGACGTGCCGTTGTTTGTTGTTTGTGTCAGGGTGTCTAAATTTCCTCCCATCTCTTTTCTCCAGAGGAGGGAATCCATTCGCAACAGTCAAACTGAGGCCAACTGTCACTAATGACAGATCGGCGCCCATTATCTAGCACATACCGAGGAGTTTTTTTTTTTTGCCACCACTGTTAAGCCTTCAAGGGAATCGTACAACATGGAACCTGCGTGACACTCCAAATTTTTTCCCCAGACTGACATTTCATCAGCCTGCATGCTTGTCTCTGTCAACACAGCCGAAATATCAAAGGGATCCTCTGTTTTATTCCCAAACGTGTGCTACAGGAGAATAAGGAATTGTGAAAGGACTCATTCTGAAGTCGGTTCTCGTCCTCGTTTTATCCCCAATTTGTAACCATCTGATCAATGTGAATTTTGCATGTTTTTTTTTTGGTTTGTTTTTTTTAAATCACATGCAAACACAAAAGCCTACCATGTAAAATACTAAGGCAGGACAAAGTAAAAAAAAAACTAAATGAAGACGAGCACTGGATGGTACACTTGCACCGCTCCCTGTGAATTCCTCGGCAAACAGGAGCCGCCTTTCATCCGAAATCTGTCAGTAAAACTGGGCGTGAGCGTGGTTACAGAATAAATATGTTGATTGGGCATATTTTAAAAAAACAATGAAAATATTATTTATTTCATGAAAATATTCTTTCTTTATGTGCCTGTCAGAAAACCAATCCAGCACAAGAATTAACCTTAATTTTAAATTTCAGTGCATTTCTACAGTATGGATGATTCACAAGTGCAGAAAGAAAGTTAATTTAGCTGTAATATATCTGCTTTTACATTGTCTTGGGTTTTTTAAAGATATTTGAGCGGCCTACTTTCTACAAGGCAGAGGAGAAAGTGTCTTGGCTGTATTTGTGGAAAGAAGTCCTGCATCTACCCTCCTCTCAGAACTTTTGCACAGACTAAATGGTGGACATGTTCCCAAGCTGGTCCAGACGAAACAGACCAGCCTTCCTGACTTGCCAAAAAAAAAAAAGTACCCCAAAAAATCACACTTTTCCTGTTTTTTATTCTAATTATTTTTGTCTTTTCTTCTTTAGAAGAGTTATAAGCAGACGTGGTGAAAATGAAGGGAGAGTGACTTGTGTGGAACGGGGATTATCTTTCAAGTGCAGTTAAAACATTTTTAAATATATTTATTATCAGGAAGTTTTTATGGAGTTTTTAAACATGTATAAAGACGGTTCTGTGTAGATACCCCATTGAATGCAAGAACCCGTGTGCTCCGTCTGAGCACGGATCTCACCCTGATTTACATTTTGGTATGTACTTTGAACGGGTAAAAAAAAAAAAGACCTTTTGATGAAGGATATGAATTCACTCCTATTTGTTTCACTGTTGCACGTGATGTGTGTGCACAATTCACGGTCGCAGAGTAAAGTGTGCATTGCTGGGAGACATTTGAACCGTATCGGAACCTTGTTTGAAGCTCTTTTCTTTACTTCGTGTTTGCTCTCCTGAATGTAAGTGTATGATTAAGGAGCTGATTAATCAAACAGCTTATTGTTCCATTTTTACTTACTGATTGGAAGCATACCCATCTTGCTGACATAGCTACTGCCATAGGCTTTATTCAGAGTACCTTGTCATTGTGTTGACCAGTGTAGTCTCTTTTTTTTCCAATAAAGCACAAACACTTCTGGACATTCACCTTTTATTACTGGTTTATTTGTAATAACAGTTTTTGACTTATCTTTGTCTCATTTTGGGGATGAATCACACAGGGTACATTTACATTAAGTATACCTGATGAGCTTCAAAACCACTCCCATAAAAATGATAAAAGAAATCAAAGTGGCGCAGGAAAAAAAAAAGTTAACTCAACATTTGTCAATATGTAAATCATTAAAACAATATGTTGAGTGTCATTCCCATTTTTGTGATTATCTAATGAGGCAAATCCCTATCTTTAGTGAAGCGCATATATTTAAATCAGTCAGAAGGATTTGTTGTTTTCATGCTTAGATTTTGTTCTGCCTGCGCCTTAAACACTGTCCTTGTGCTGAAAACCTCTCTGGTGGCTGCTCTGCTCACATTTAAGACCTTCTCCCAGCACTGGGATCATGTCTGTCTCACCAACAGAGGATCTAACCGTGAGCCAAGCAGAATCTGAGCATGAAATTAGGCAATCCTATGCAGTCTAAAAAATATGCACTTGAGCCAAGATAAAGGGAAAGACCAGCTGATCAGTTTTGGTTGAGACTATAGCTTTAAATCAGGGGGGGGGGACTCCAGGTCTGTCCTGCAGGTTTTAGAGGTTTCCCTGATCCAACATATCTGATTCACACCGACACGACATCAGCAGTCCTGTGCGGAGCTGGGAAACCTCTAAATCCTCCAGGATGGAGGCCCTTCGAGGCCTGGAGTTGCCCACCCCTGTTTTAAATTAAATCATCTAAACATGCATCGTCCTCTGCTGAATTCCTATTTAAAAACCGGATTATGTTATTTTCTTTTTGAAGTTTTTATATTTCTATTGAAGTGGAAGCTCTGAGTAGTCATTTTGTGGTCTGAGCATGTATTAAATGCTCTGTCTATTCTGTTTTTGAAGCCCCAAAGTGAAATACATAGTTTGCGTTTAGGGAAGGTTAACATTCAAACAAAATAACAAATCTAAAGAAAATTACGATTAAAGGGTTACTATGCAAAAATAAGTACAGTAATATCAGGTGTCATGACACTTAAAATATACAGACCAATTAAAAATATTTCAATAAAGAAAATTAATCCAAATAGAATCTAATTAAAGGTCGTCTAATTATAATCCAATTCAATTTAAATACAAATTAGTCCAATTTATACAATGCTAATCTTGTAAAACAGAAACAATGAAAACCAACGGATCTCCTCGATAATTTTTCTTCGAGTCAATCCCCCAACCTGAGCAAGCACGAGGCGACAGCGGAGAGGAAAACTCCCTTTTAACAGGAAGAAACCTCCAGCAGAACCAGACTCAGGAAGGGCGGCCATCTGCCGCGGCCGGCTGGTGTGTCCTGAGTTTCAGATGGAGCCATAATGTGAGGGGCCGCTGGGATCTGGTCTTTGCTATCTTGTAAGCGGTGACTTGTCTGAGAACTACTGAGAAAAACACAAAGAACGACATCAGTTAAGAATATATTTTCTATGTATTTAACATGATGTGAAACAGAGCTTTCAGTCAGCATGTAATCAAATCAACAGATCCTTACTCAGTGTAGTGGGGTCAATCCATGCTTCTCTTGGATCTTTTGGAGGGGTGGAAGTCAGAGCTGTCATCTCTCTCTTGCCTCAGATGATCAGCAGTCCTTTTGTGGCCCTGACGTTCCCTTTTAGGGGCTGAGTGGGAACTGCAGGGACAAGTACAGGGGCTGGGATCAGACTTATTCGAATCAAGCTGGTGTGAAATGTAAGTGGTTCGAGTAGTGCTTCTCCCAGATATTCCTCTCTTACCTTAATATGTGGGACTATCGACTGTCTTGATTCCCCCTCCATCCATCCATCCATTATCGTTACCGCTTCTTCCCTGTTGGGGTCGCAGGGGGAACTGGAGCCTATCCCAGTGGTCAACGGGCGAGAGGCAGGGTACACCCTGGACAGTCTGCCAGTCCATCGCAGGGCCATTCCCCCGCCACTTCCCGTTAAACTATTTAGTCTTTCATCCATAAACCCATCTCCATCTAAATGGGGAGAAGTCTGAGGGAAAGAAACAGGAGGGGAAAGTTCAGTAACAGAACCCCAAACAGATTAAATGCTGAGTTTTTGTCCCCATCAAAACAGCTACAGCGATAAAAATGTAGCATCACCTTTGACGTGTTTGGCTCCATCTGAAGATCCATGAAGCCACTGACGTACTGGTGGACAGTGGTGCTGGCGTGAGGCATCACCAGCGGTGGAGACGGCTGACCACAGATCCCCGCTTGGTGGCCGACGTTGCCACAATCCCCTTCTGCTGACGTATCAGAGTTCAAATACCAAACCAAGTGGCTTCATACATCAATCCAGTTAGATGAAGTAGCAAAGACAGTAAAAATGTTCAACTTACTCAGGTAGACTCTGTTCTTGTCTATCAGGAGCAGCCAAACCGGAAGGAAGAGGACTGCTGGAGCTCTGAGGAGCACAGAAATGGACAAGATTTGGCCTTAAGGCGTTTCAAATTCTCTTAAAACTCATTAAATGTACATTTGAACAAACTGCAGAAAATTCACCTTTTTCGTTTCCATAACTTTGAAGTATGGAAAGGAAGTCGTTTTCCATAAACCCCTTTCAACAGGGAAGTGCAATCAGGGGAGGCTCTGCTTCACCTGTCACCATGAAAAGAACAAAAAAGATAACATAAAATGAAAATTATTATTAGTCAACTGCATACAGCAAACATTATATGTATTGGCAACATGCATGTCGCTAATACATATAATGTTTGCATATACGTTTAATATCCTGATTTATTTTCCACAGTCTGGCTAATGTCTTTAACCATTTACGTGTAATGTTTGCTAGTGAGGCGGGGCAGTACTCTGCCGCGCCGCAGGGGGGCGCAGGTGAGCCAACGGCTGCTTGCTGCTGCTGTGCTTTGACGCAGACGCGAGTGAGAGTCGAGTTAAAGGCGCGCGAACTGCCGTTAGCCGTTGACTTTTGTATGTGTGAACGGAAGGTGGCAGATGAGAGACGAAATAACCAGTAGCCAGTTGAATAAGCTGCCCTTTTAGGTGTGTGTGTTTGTAAATCTGAGTCTAAAGGAGTCAGTGCCTCACCGCACGTCAGTACCTTTCAAAGTGCTGAAATGTCTGAATATTCAGAGTTTTTCTCCCAATCAATCGCTAAAGAGAAAACATTTAGAATCACCTTTGTCCTGTTTGGCTCCAGCTGAAGATCCACGAAACAACCGTTGTGCTGGGGGACAGTGGGGCTGGTGTGAGGCATCAAAAATTGAAATAGAAAAATATAAAATATAATTTGAATGCATTTTAACGTGATATGAAGCAGAGCTTCAGTCAGCATGTATTCAAGGCAACGGATCCTTACTCGGTGCTGTGGTGTCAATCCATGCTTCTCTTGGATCTTTTGGAGGGGTGGAACTCGGAGCTGTCATCTCTCTCTTGCCTCAGATGATCAGCAGTCCTTTTGTGGCCCTGACGTTCTCCTTTAGGGGCCGACTGGGAACTGTAGAGACAAGTACAGGGGCTTGGACCAGACTTACTCCAGTTGAAAAATCAAGCTGGGGCGAAACGTAAGTGGTTCCAGTAGTCCCTCTCCTACCTTACTGTGTGGGACTCTCGACTCTCTAAACAGTACCTTTCCCGTTCCTGGTCCACTTGAGAAAGGTGCTGGTGGTGGTAGTTGGAGTCCCCCTGATGACGCTGCTCCCTGGGGTGAAGGGCAGTTGGACGGCGTCTGGTCTCAGGCTCCCAGTCCCTGTAATTGCATTCAGTTTGACATAAGTTACGTTCGCATGGATTATAGGGACTTCCGTAGACGAATCTGCATCGAAGACAATCACAGCACCTCTCTCGCAGCGGGCTCCTGTCTCTGTAGACTCGCCCCTTCATGGTCCCGTATCCTTGTAAATGGGGCGAAGTCTGAGGGAAAGAAACAAGAGGAGAAAAGTTCTGTAACAAAATCCAAGGCTGGTTAAACGCTTGAATAGTTTTTTTCCACATCAAAATAGCTGAAGAGATCAGATGTAGCGTCACCTCGGTGGTGTTTGGCTCCAGCTGGGGATCCGTGAAGCCACAGATCCCTGCGTCGAGACTAACGTTTCCGTAGTCCCCTGCTGCCGACGCGTCAGAGAATCTAAGTACGGAACAGGAATGGTTAGAACAAACTCACATATTTAAATGGCAGAAGCAAATTTACTGGAAAATTATTGTTCTTAAGAAATGGTGTCACAAACTAAAGGGGTTCAATTAAACTAAGTGGCTTCAAACATTAATCCAGTTATTTTCTAACTCAGAACTTCAACCATTGTAATATAAAATAGCAATGACAGTGAAAATGTTCAACTTACTCAGGTAGACTCTGTTCTTGTCTATCAGGAGCAGCGAAAGCGGAAGGAAGAGGACTCCCGGAGCTCTGAGGAACACAAAATGGACAAGATTTGGCCTTCAGCGTTTCAAATTCTCCTAAAACTCATTAACTATGCATTTTAAGTGCAGAAATTTTACCTTTTCGTTTCCATAACTTTGAAGCATGGATAAAAAGTCGCTATCCCAGGAGACTTCATCCACAAACCCATCTCCGTGTAAATGGGGTGAAGTCTGAAGGAAAGAAACGGAGGAGGAATGTTCAGTAACAAAATCCCAAATTTTCCCCATCAAAATAGCTGAAGAGAAAAAATGTTTACATCACCTTTGACGTGTTTGGCTCCGGCTGAAGATCCATGAAGCCACTGTCGTACTGGGGGACGGCAGTGCTGGTGTGAGGCGTCACCAGCGGTGGAGACGGCCGACCACAGACCCCCGTTTGGTGGCTGCAGCCCCCTTCTGCTGACGTATCAGTGGATCTGTAAAAGAACAGGAATTGTTAGAACATACTCCCATCTTTCAGTGCCAGGAGTAAATTGACTGGGAAATGAATTATTGTTCTTCAGAAACGATGGCTGTGTTAACACACTGACATCACATAAAAATGGAAAGTCGTATTTACTAAAGAATCCTAGATACTATTTCTGTTCAAATGTCCACACTCTGACTCTCAAAATGAGGATTTTCTTACTTAATGTAAAACAGAACGTAAGCTTCTTGCTTGAGGACGGTATCGATGTCGCTCACAGACACGGAAGAGTCGTTCATCTTGTACCACTGACCGTCACTAGCCTGTCAGACACAGAAGAATTGAATGTTTTTTAGTTGAATGGATTTCAAGTGTTGGTTAAAAGTCAGAATATTGAGTCTTGAAGCAGAGCAGCATTCTAAGGTCGTAGAACAGTGGTTTGTGGGTTTTCTAGTACCTTGATGAAGCACAGGTAGTGCCCCGAGTTGCAGCGGGCTCCGGCGTGAACCATCACGGCGTAGAGGCTGTAGATTTGGGGCTCGCCTTCCGCCTCCGACATGAAGCGCCGCAGGTCCAGAAACTCCCGGAACTTCACATCCTGCTCAACATAAACAAGGGGATTGATTCCTAAATCCCATTCGAAGCGTTGCTTGTCAATACACGAAATATCCTAACGTGTGTGTGTTGCTGTACCTTTGTGATTTTCCTGGTGGAGAAGTACCCAAATCTTTTCAGGGACAGGGTGAGCACGTCAGGGCTGCGGTGGATTCTCAGGCTCTTTTTCGCTGAGACCATTTCCAAGCACCTCAGAAAATGACAGAAAACTTTATTAGTTGAAAGAGTAACACATGAATAAATGAAAACTTGACTCTTTTTATCTCAGTAAATTACTTTGAGCACTTGTAGGAATTTTCACCCCCGAGCTTCTCCGGCTTCACAAAACGCTTCAGAGCCTTGGAGACACTGGAAGCGCTCTACAAGGGGAGAAAAAATTACTTTGGGGTTAAGCATTGCTTTGAGGAAATCTTTTTTTAAAAATCAGATTTTAATAAAACTGAAATACAGAACATGTCAGCTCCAATTACCTCAATGTCCAGAGTGAGATCCTGAAAAGCCTCGTATGTATCAGACACCTCTTTACATGCTGAACATTCCACTGAAAAATATCAGACATATTTGTTTAGTACAGGAAAGCAGTAAAATGCTAAAACCTGACTTCACGCACGGCAGAGAATGAACTGAAAACTTGCCTCTGGACCTGAGGTACCCGCCAAACAGTTGATCGATGACGGTGGTGTTCATGATGATTCCTTCCAATCTGTCAACAAGATGGGATGAAAATGTCAACAGTTAAAGACTTACTTTGTCCGGCCTCACAGTGTGATGTCGGTTAAGACATTGCGTCATTGGCAGCGGCCGCCGTTTTCCCGTGCTAGCTCCATTAGAAAACAAAAAGCACACTCACGTGTTGGACAAACAGGATCTCTGCATGGCGTTCAGCGTGTGCTGCAGGAACTCATGAGCATCCTCCTGCCGTCCATTCAGGAAATGATCAGCAATATCTACAGAAATGAGTAAAAGGCATTTCAGTGATTAACGATACAGCACTTCAGATATATATTGAGTATGATTCAACTTCTAAATGGAAACTCTGAACCTTCGCTGCAAAAGTTTAAAAAAAAGTACAAATATCTGTTTACTTGTAATCTTGCTGACAATATCTATGGGACGAACAACGTCCCCAGAGCTCTCAAAAACAGCAATGACGTGGTTTTCCATTGTGCACATCATGCAGAACTCTGTTTCAACACCTACAACAGCAACAGATGTACATGAGACTAAAGACAAAATTCAGGCACAAAAACAGAGCAGATAGACAGCTGAGCTGTCCAAGAATGACTTAATGATCAGTGCATCCCCGTACCATTAAGTCAGATCCCTCTGTTATTGTTTGAAAAAGTAAGAAATATTAACTCACACTTTTTGGTGTGCTGACGTGTCAACAAGTAGTTGGCCAAGGGTGCAGTGTAGGTGAGACACTGCAGAGCTGAGTTTAGGAAGCAGGTGTTCCCCATGTTCTGTAGGCCAGCGCCAATGGGGTGAGCCTTGCTCCACTTTAAACAGAGCCCTCCTGGAGGGAGAAGAACCTTCTTGGCCAAATCCATGCTGTCACCACTGTCTATATCGGGACACACAGAGACAAAAGAAATGTATTGACTGGGTCCTTGGAAACATATGCTATACACTAATACAAGCACATACATATGACAGCTTTAAATTACAAAGATGATGATTATTATTTTTTAGTTTAGTTTTTTTGCCGAGAACAAGATAGGCTATTTTATATTTTAAAAGAAAACATCAAATTTGGAAATTCCACACATTGTGGCTGAAGTTCCGCTGATAATAAAAAGGATAATAATATTAAAAAATAGATCTAACATAACTAGAAAACCCTTTAAAAATATAAAAGAATGACAAGAAAATACAAATTATTTCAAAAGGAGACAGCACATTTTGAACTTAAACACTTTGTGACTAATGTTGATGCCAATATTTTTAAATATCATGATTCATTATTAGAATTGATCATATTTATTTCTAAAAATTATTTTTTAAATAAACAAGTTAATTCAAAAGGGGATGAAATATGATAAATAAAACAATAATAACACATTTGGTTGTTTTACTTGAAAGTGATGTCAGACCTTAAAATTAATATCAGAGCTGGCAAAAAAACTATTTCTCTCCAAATAAATGCATCTTAATATCTATATATACATATATAGAAATATGTATTCACACTGAGGACCTGTCATCTAACTCTAGGGGCTATAAAATAGCTTGTTGTTTAGAATTCTTTTAAAAAGACAACATAACATTTTGAATTTAAACACTTTGTGGCTAACGTTGCTGTCGATATAATCAAATATAAACTATTATTAGAAAATATTATTTTGATTTCTAATATTTACATAAAATACATATCAAACCAATACAAAAGAGTACAAAATATATTATAAATAAAACATTTATAAAATAATAATATATTTGTAGAATGAGCTGGGAGAAAACTTTAATGCTTATAAAATTCTATGTGGTATTGTTATTATTTGAAATAAAAACATCAAACATCACATTTTGAATTTAAACAATTTGTGTCTAATGTTGCTGCCAATATTATTAAATATTATGATTTATTACTAGAATAAATTATATTTATTTCTAATAAATAAATATCACACCAAAACAAAAGAGAATAAAAACATGAAAAATAACAAGATAATAATGATATGTTTGGTTATTTTACTCAAGGTAAAAAAAATACTTGAATTATTTAAAAGGAATACTTAGCATTTTGAATTTAAACAAGTTCGAATTTGTCTTATTTTACAGTTAAGAAGTACCAATAACACCCTTTTTAAGCTTTTAAAATGTGTTAAAAATGACTAATAAATATTTAACCAATAACTTTAAATAAACAGGAAGTGTAAAAATCACCGGATAAGCTTACAGGTAGGAGAAAAAAAAAAAAAAAAAAAAAAAAGCTTACAGGTAGGACAGCCCCTCAGAGTATGGAGTGTGGGTCACAAATCGCCTCTTCCCGCCTCTGATGAGACACTTGCTAACAGGTGGTAGTTCGGTGTATCACACGAAGCGCGAAGAAACGTCGAGAAAAATCTCAAGTTTGTTAAACTTTTCGTTAGTTAGAGGACAAAAAAGTTGCTTGCAACATTCGTTGAGCTCTCGAAAAGAGTGAGTGATGACACTCCAAAATTGAACGCGGTGGGGCCGACATTCTCTGGTTTCCATCGTTTTGAAAACATGTTATTCTTACAAAATAGCATTATTTTTTTATTAATAATGTTTTTGTTATTCTTCAAGTTTTACGTCGAAACCTCGTCCCCTTGATTTGTTTCGAGCTTTTTATAGAGATAGAAAAAAACTTTATTGAATTTATTTATTTACAATTACTGAAACAATAAAAAGACAAATAAGAATTCAAATAGAATAAATCAGTTAGATACATATGAGGGACAATAACCATTCTAACTGAAAGCATTACACAATTTACTAATCTATCTAGTTAAGATAAGAAAAGCTTTATTGATCTCACAGTGGAGAAATTATCTAGATATAGTTTCTTAAAAACTATTCTAATAAAAATGTGATAAAAAATTAGAGAAACTATAGTATAAACTATGTTACCCTCCTGTTATCATTAGGGTCAATTTGAGTCCATTTAATATTTATCTTTTTTTTTAATTGAACACATTAATCAAACTCATGTTCCTCTGAGGTCACATGTCTGTCTTTTGTGACCCAAAACCCATACACACCTGCAGGAACAGAATTATACTTTTGAAATGATATCTTAGAGGGGGAGGGGGAATTATTATAATCACTATGTGAATAATATTCACATAATATTATATTCAAATATAATATATGTGAATATAGTGTTCACATTATAGAATAATAGTATATGTGAATAATACTCACATATAATATTCACATATTACATATGCTATGTCAGGTATATTTCTTATATCACATATAATTCACAAATTATATCTTAGGAGGGGGAATAATATTCACTTTCAAACTTTTCCTATTAGTCCACTGAGCCTCCTCCTGTCTGTGCTGGCACCTGCCCAGCAGACCACGGCATAAAAAATGGCTGAGGCCACCACACAGTCATAAAACGTCTTTAAAAGAGCCCTGCACTCTCCCAGTGAGCTCAGTCTCTTCAGCAGGTGGAGGCGACTCTGGCCCTTCTTGTAGAGGGTCAGTTTTGATAGTCCAGTCCAGTGTGCTGTTTAGGTGGACACCCAGTAATTTGTAACTGTGCACCACCTCTATTGTCTGATCCCTGGATGTTCACCGGTGTGAAGGGGGGTGTATTCCCCTGAGGTTGTGCTCACTCCACCTGACAGATGAATTTCTATTGAGAAGTTTGGCCTTATGTTGGTGCTAGAAGACAGGTCAAGGGGCCATTATGTATATGTAGGCAACGGGACGGATGATGTGGTGGGTGAAGGAAGATCACAGACAGTGGTTGAATTTGGGCATTTGCTATTGAAGAAAGTGACCAAAAGGCTCAACCAACCCAGATATCAACAAACTGAACAGGAAAAATGTTTCAATGAAACTACATTCAAGCATCAACAGTAAAACCAGGTTACAAGGTTTATTGGCAATATGGGAAATAGAACAAAGAAAAACAGCGTTGGGAGTGAGGACATCCATCCATCCATCCATCTGATTTCTAGTAGGGTCACTGGGGGGCGGGTGCCCATCCAGGTTGACATTGACAGTATCACACCCTGGAGATCTCACCAGTCCATCACGGGGCCAGTGTGGGAAACCAAAAAGTTAAAATACAGTGGAGGGTGATCAGTGAGTGGAGACAGCTGAGGATGATCAGCACAAGTTATGGGAGTGGAAGGTAGCACATCCTTAACTTAATACGTATATCAGCAGTGGAAAAAGAGAAAACCTAAAATGCTGTGACTATAAAACATTTGAAATATTTCCTTATCTTTTTAACTAAATGTACGCATGGGAATTGTACACAGACGAAAACATCTGTTTAATTGATGCACAGTAAATGCGTAGCTGGCCGAGTTGATGGTGAAATGTGAGGCTTTGGCGCCCTCTGCTGGAGAGTCGTGATATGAGAACAGCTAATGGGAAAAGAGAAAGCTCATCACTTCCTGTTTGATTCCAGGGGGGAGTATAGAGATATGAGTATCAACATCCTCTATTCGCATCAGGACTGTGATGTGTCTATTAACTTGCAGCGGTAAAACGTAACACCGGCACCGGTTAACGCTTTATGAGAGGAAGCGGAAGGTTAGTGGGTTTGAACTGGGTGATTTCTGCTGTTTCTAAGGTTAAGCCTGTAAGCCTCTACCAAAAACAAGCCGAGTGTCGTAAAACCCCGAAGCTGGCTTTATCGTCCAATTTATCGCTGTTTGAAGCATTACAGCTCCTCTTCTCATTAAAGCTAATTTGACACGGTGTGAATAATCGGATAGCTCGTTAAACTGTAATAAAGGTCACTCTTAAACAAACCGCTGGCGATTTAACCGCGTTGACTTATAATGCTGTCGTCAACATCAAATCTAATGACGGACTGGGGGGTGCTTTTTAATTCCATTATCAGTAACGCCCTTGGTTTAATATGCTTTATGCTAAGTTTCAGTTTTAGAGGTTCCCGTGTAGCAAAAATGTCCCCTCTGGGTCATGTTAAATGGATTTCGACACGCGCTGCAAACAAGGCGAATTAAGTCATTTGTAGTCCACATTCAGGCTCGGTTATGAGAAAAAGGCTAAAGGTCCAGCCAGTAGGACGCAGGTCAGTTGTTTTGGAGCAAAAACCGGTGTAAATATATAGCTTTTTTTAATCTTCGTGGGTGAGCCTGATTTGCCAAAAGTCCACGGCAAACATTACCTACAGGCTCCTCTGATTACCAAAGTATTCTAGAGTCAGGTTTTGCTGGGGCCAAGTCTTAGTCCAGATGTCAACCTGACATATGTCACTTTTCTAAAAAAAAAATGAACGAATGTCATGGTTGTGGTTTCAGACCAGTTTTTTTGTGGGTCACATCTTGTCACATACCTAATATTATCACTAATGTCATATTTATTCTTTTCTTCAGGTCACCAGCTCAGCCATGCCTGTGTCCCTGCTGTGGGCGGTGGACGTGTACGGCCGGGTCTACAGCCTGTCCACGGTGGGACAGCAGTGGGAGCAGTGCCGGGATGCCCAGATGGAATTCAAGCGGGCGACTGCGGCTCAGCAGTGTTGCTGGGGCATCGCCTGTGACAACAACATCTACCTGAACGTCCACGCCTCCGACCTGCCCATACGCTACAAAGAGGAGACCTACGAGAATCAAGTGGGCCTCTCTCTCCGATCGCACTGCATTTATAGAGGGAACAAATGTTTGGAAAGAAAATCATACAATTATGGAAACAAATCAAGTCATTTTCCGTCAGATAGGTTTCTGTTTATTTGTGGATTACATTTTCTAAAGCTCAGACGACGTGGAAGTATAATCTATTGACCCTAACTTGCCATATCTGCCTTTTTCTGTGCCAGCGTTGGAATCCTGTCGACGGTTTCTCAGAGCGATTGCTCCCCAGTGACCGCTGGCAGTGGAGTGATGTCACAGGTCTGCAACACCAGCCTCTGGACGGCTTCCGGCTCCCCTCCGGCAGCTGGGAGTGGGAGGGGGACTGGTATATTGATGAGAATTTTGAGGGGGAGCCCACTGAGACAGGGGTGAATGTTTGTTTTTTTTAATATAGTTTTTATAGCTTTGCTTCACTTTCTAATGAACCCTTCCTATTTCAGCCTGATATTTCCTGTTTTCATTCCTTCTATTTAGTAACATAGATGTTTGTGTCGACAGGGGTGGAGTTACGCCATCGATTTCCCTGCGTTCTACACCAAAGACAAGAAGTGGAACTCCTGTGTCCGACGCAGGCGATGGCTCCGCTACAGGAGGTACAAAGCTATGGACACTTGGGCTAAGGTGAGTGTTACCTTTCTGTGTGAACTGGCTCAACTAAACCTAAATCTATTCTCGGGGATTGTGGTGTTCTTTGATCAGTCTTGCAGACAAAATACATTGATCTCATGTCACCTTATTCTTAGGAAGAGCAAGCGGTGCGAATGCATATTGTGTATCATTGCAGCAAAACTCAATTGTAGGGATTCTTGGATTATTTTGATAGATTGAAGTCTGAAAAGTTGTCAATGGTTCACTGCGATGGTAGATTAATTAGGTGATGAAGTGCCAATATTTGGTCAAAATGGGAAAACACTTTTCTGTTTTGCTTGCAGTATCGTTCATCAACTTTCAGTGTGTCTGATCGACACCTAATGTTTTCGTTCTGATTTAGCTGTCTGGGATATGATCAGTACAAGAACCTGGGAAAGAATTCAAATAAAACTTCTGGTAGAAAGAATAAAACTGGTCCTGGTGTCGATATAACCAGGTTAAAAAGAACCCCAGCGACACACAGAACTCATACCTTCAGCTCAGTGTGGCACGGTAAGCTGTTAACCTTCCTTAAAATCCGTTGTGATCATTTTTGTTTGCTGACAGATCCCCTCACAGCAGACGAGTCTACCAGATCCTTTCAGCGACATCAGCTGTGGCGGTTGGGAAGTCAGCGAGGAGCCCCGGGGCAGACTGTCCCTGTGGGCCGTGTCCCTTCAGGGCAAGGTACAGAGTGCACGCAAACATATTCTCTAATTAAATATCTAGTTTATCTTAGGTATTTTGGCATTATATCCCAGGTTTCAGTTACGTAAATGGCAGAAGTCAAGTGAAAGAAACACGCACAAATATTTCTGACTAAAATCGGAAAGTAATGTTATTCAGTTAAAGCGGAAAAAAATATGTAAACATATGCTGAGAGTCATAAGATCCTGTCCTATTTATAAACATAAAAGCTTTAAAATATGTCGAGCGTGATGTTAGATTGATTTCTTTTCAGTTTCCACAGTAACATCACTCACACACAGTCTCTTCACTTGTCATTTTCCCACCACGCTCAGGTTTGGTTCAGAGAGGGAATCTGTCACCACAACCCGGAGGGCTCTCTGTGGGAGGAGGTGGCTCTCCCTGGAGAGGTGGTCCAGATAAGCTGTGGCCCGGGGGACCTGGTCTGGGCTGCGCTTTGGGAGGGGCAGCTCATCGTCAGGGAGGGGATCGGCCGAGACTGCCCCAAAGGTACGCACAGCTCCAGTCACGAAAGAAAAATGCCTGCGACTGGGTTTTGGTTTCATTTGTTTGTTTGGATGAGATTTTTAAAAAGTGTCCTCCAATCCAGGTACATCCTGGGCAGCTGTGGACTCTCCCAGCCCTGAGGTGGGGGTTATACATTTAGCTGTGGGAGTCGATGTTGTCTGGGCTGTGACCAAGGACAATAAAGTAAGAAAACGTCCAATTATGGAGGGCAGTCATGGAAATACACATGCATATTAAATATGGAAATAAAATATTTAACATTAACATTTGACAGCATCTTAGAAGTGCTATCATATATAGCTAAAGCAAAATTATATAATAAAGCAAAATAATAAAAAGAAGACCAATGATTAAATACTTCTATCTGCTACTTTTCAAACTTTGAGATACTTTCTATTTCCATTTAACCTTTTAACATCCTGCTCCATCAGCACAATTTTCACTGATTATACTCAGTCATGGGATATACCAGAAGAGGTGTACTTACCAAAACTTGCTCTGAAATTAAGTTTTGGTGTGTGATGCCTAAATTAAATTGATCATGACAAAGTTTCACACTTTTACCATTAAGTACCACCCCGACTATCTGTGAAAAAAGCACTGGTTATGATTGTTATTGTACAATGTTGGTTGAAAACTTTAGACAGACCGTAGTCTATCTTTGAGGGATTTATTGTAAATCCAAAATCCAACATGGTACACCCTTCTATCAATTGCTTAAACTAACTTTGGCAACAACAGATTTACGTACCATTAATCTCGAGATTACGAGATTAAGAGAAAGATATCTTTTTATTTTAGAATGGAGTTATTTTCAAGGATTAACAACAACCTCTCAAGGGCATCCTGGAAGAAAATAGCTTTGTTTCTTAAACTTATCAAGATAGCTGTGAGTATGCTGTTAGTTTCTTTTTTGTTTGTTTTTGGGTAAACTGTGTCCTCTCCTCCTATACCAGGTGTGGTTCAGGCGTGGTGTAAACTCTCACAATCCCTGTGGCTCCGGTTGGATTAGCATGGTGGGGGAAATGATGATGATCAACGTCGGACTAAACGACCAGGTGATTTACGGCCACATTACTCAACATAAGTACATGAACATGAAAGGAAAACTTTCAACCCGTTGTTTGTTGTATTTAGCACACACTTTGCAAGTCGTCAAGCCGTGTTTAGTTGTTGCTGCTTCGTCTAGGTGTGGGCCATCGGCTCTGAGGATCGGGGCATATACTTCAGACAGGGTGTGACCGCCAGTGAACTGAGTGGCAAAACCTGGAAGGCCATCAACGTTCCCCGAGATGGAGATCGATCCCACTCCAGTGCCAGTGCATCCAGCCTGCAGAGGTTCTTCACCATAGTACACACACACACAAGCAGGAATTCTGTGAGAATGCATCCATTCTCTTATCAGGATTCAAGCAATTCAGATGTTTTCTTGCAGATTGCAAATCAACAAAATCCCGCTTTTTCTCTTGCCTCCTCAGTGCCGGATGCTTTTTCTCGGGCGAGGTGCGTGCTCAGTCAGTCATGAGTGACGCGGACTTGGATGAGAAAGGCTCTGCAGACAGAGACAGCGGCTGTGTCCCATCTACCTCCCCAGAGACCTTTGTCCACCCCCTCACAGATCCCACCCCTGACCAACCCGCCGACCCCCCTAAACCCCGTATCCCCAAAGTCACGAGCGACAGCTTCATCTCCGAGCTCGTCTCCGACCGCGAGCCGGGGAAGACCTCGAAAGAACTCGGACCGGCTGCTCCCGCCGTCTTGGAGGAGGAGGAGGTCTCCCTCGGCGAGGCGGAGATCCAGGCTCCGTGCGCCGGTGCCACCCTTTCCCCCGGCCCGTCCGGTGGCGCGTCCGGTCTCCAGTGGAGCAACGTGGACCTGGAGGAGGCCCAGAGCGCGCAGGCTCGTGCCGGAGCGGCGGCGGCGGACTCGGCCGACACCTGCAGCCTGTCGTCAGTGGCCACCTACACGCTCGCTCTGGAGGACCCGTACGGAGCGGACGAGCACCCTCTGTGGGCCTGGGTCAGCGGAGGAGGGTGTTCAGTGGACAGTCACTCCCAGCTTAACTGGTTTAACAGTTCCGCCAACACTTTATGTGAGTCCACTCGGTTGTGCGAGACATAAAGCACAGTCCATTCTCAAAGTCATATTTTGTGATTTCCAAACACCAGTTTCACAGAAGACTCAAAACTGGTGTTTTCTACTTGTTTTCTTCCAGCTTTAATACAGTCCGTCCAGTCTATGAGTCTGTCAGTGACCCCAGCCCAGTCGGCAGCTTGGAAGAGACAAATCTTTGAGCAGCTCAATGAAAGGACTAAGAGAGAAATTGATAATTTCAAACATTATGAGCAAGCCATAGAACAGGTACGAGCAGCCTCGGCAAAGAGTATGTGTTTTCCACTGTTTCCTTCAATAATGTGTCCACTCACTCACTTTACTTTAACCGTTGGCAGTCTGTGTGGGTGAAGAAAGGGACCATGCAGTGGTGGAGAGACTGGAAGCCACACAAGTGGATCGATGTCCATTTTGCCTTGGAGCAGTTCTCGGGACCAGAGGGCGACAAAGATGGCATCCTGTTCATCTACTACAACTATTATGAAGAGAAGAAGGTGAGAAAGCAACATCCCAAAGAAGACAGATATGCAAATCTTAAATGTAGAGAATTTCTTTTTCTTTTTCCTACCTTTTCCTGTACATCACTTTTTTCTCTCTCCTTCTACCAGTGCCTTCAGCAGACAGATGACCCCACAGCACAATATTATCTGCCTTTCTCTAATCTTTTTTTTTTTTTTTTCTCCCGTGTCCCTTACTGTCACCCCCACCAGTACCTGCATGCCTTCATTAATGAAGTAACCATCCTGGTTCCCGTGCTAAATGACTCCAAGCACACGTTTGCTGTCTACACCCCTGAGCGAACCAAACAGAGGTGGCCAATCAGACTGGCTGCTGCCACGGAGCTGGAAATGCACGACTGGGTGCGTATGTGCAGGGAAACGCACGCCGTTGTGAACCAGGAACCATGTAACAAATAATGGTGCAGATTAAAAGGCTGTAGAAGTCAGCCATCTTTGGCAACATTCTGGTTTAGAACAGTCATATGTGCATGAGGTTTTATGCCTCAATTGATACACATCGATTTCATCAGAACTTATTTTTTATGTGAAGATAAACAGTGTTTTTTTTGTTGTTGTTATTTTTCTCCCACTGTTTAAAATATCAGCCAATTGGAATTCACCCCCCTGCCATTTAGCTGCTCTTAATGTGATTTTTGATTTTTGTATCTCCCCAGCTGGCGTTGTTGAGTGTGGCATGTTGCGACTCCAGAGGAATCCAGGGTCCTCCCTCCAAACAGGCCATCTGGTCGGTCACCTGTAAAGGGGACATCTTCGTCAGTGAGCCCACCCCGGCCCTAGAGGCCACGCCTTACCCCACGCCTTGTGACCAGATGTAGGGGTTAACCAGCACATCACCGCACGTCACGTCCACAAGATGTTTCCCGCCTTTAGCTGGGTGTTATTTTTGGCTCTTTGGGCAGGTTCTGGCGGCAGGTGGGAGGCCACCTACGGTCGGTGGAGTGTAACAGTGCCGGGATCGTGTGGGGGATCGGCTACGACCACACTGCCTGGGTCTACACCGGTGGCTACGGCGGAGGCTTCTTCCAGGGCCTGGCCAGCAGCACGGACAACATTTACACCCAGACTGATGTCAAGAGTGTCTACATATACGAGAACCAGAGGTGGAACCCCGTCACCGGCTACACCAACAGGTGCTGAGCTCTCCGTACTACGGAAAGGTTCTCCTGCTCTGTGTGAGACATGGAGCTATTGCGTAGTGTACAGTATGATATACCTGACGTTCTTTTCTATCAATTGTGATTTGTTTTAGAGGTCTTCCAACAGACAGATACATGTGGAGTGATGCGTCGGGGTTACATGAGTGCACAAAGGCAAATACAAAGCCTCCCGCTCCTCAGTGGACATGGGTGAGCCCTACACACATATAAACAGTGGAAAAAGTCTTCACAGGGATCTGAAACTAGCTCCATTTTCTTAAAAAAAACCCCCACACTTTTCCATTCTGATCACTTTGGAAACCACACTGTTTATTCTTAAAATGTCAGGTGGCCGAAAATGGGTTCAGACTCACACTTCTTGTTTTTGCTGATTCCAGGTGTCTGACTGGGGTATCGACTACAGTGTCTCTGGAGGGACAGACAAAGAGGGCTGGCAATACGCTGCAGACTTTCCAGCGTAGGTTATATTTCTGATTTGAAAATCCTCAAATCCTCCGGCTCGCACCGTGGTTTTAGTTACCCACATCCTGTTTATTCTTTTAACCTGTAATTAATCATCTCACTTTGTCCCCTGTGTCTCCACGCAGGTCTTATCATGGCCACAAAACCTTGAAGGACTTTGTGCGTCGTAGGCGGTGGGCAAGGTATCGTAAAAAGCGGCACTAGCCTATTTGTCCATGCAGAATTTGTTTAACAAGCACACAGTAGTTTTAGAATGCCCGTTGATTGTGACACTTATCGTATTTATTTGGATAGTAAAATGTGATGGTAGATCTTTTTTAACTTATCAGCCCAGAGTAAATAAAGACAGCACAATAAACTGTTAAACCTGGTGAATAGGAAGTGTAAGCTGAACACAACGGGACCGTGGCAAGAAGTTCCCCCCATCCCCCTGAGCGACGTGACCATCCTGCTGTGCCCCCCCGGAAGCGGCATGGCCGCGGTCCCTCTGTGGGCCATCAGCAACAAGGGCGACGTGCTCTGCCGGCTGGGAGTAACCGCACTAACACCTGCCGTGAGTCATCCACGATCTGCCAGCTGACACGCCCAAATGCTGGTCATGCACCAAACATTCTCACAGAGTAGATGGTGAATTGTTCAAATTTGGCAGGTTTTCACACAGAAATCTTTAAATCTAGTCCTCAATATTGATTTAAATAAAAACAACAAAAAAACATTCAGTTAAGCCAATAAAGCAACAATGTCATGTTTGGTCAATATATTCATGATTTTAGAACTAAAAGACTTTTAAGAACAGACGAGGGATGTTGAAACTTGTGGGAAAGCCTTATCCTGTCGGGGTTAATGATTTATTTTCTGGCTCGTCTCTCAGGGATCCTCGTGGCTTCACGTGGGAACAGACCAGCCTTTCAAGTCTATTTCCATCGGAGCGTCCAGCCAGGTTTGGGCCATCGCAAGGGACGGTTCTGCCTTCTACAGGGGCTCCGTGTCCCCACAGAGCCCAGCAGGTCAGCAGGAGAAACTCGCAAAAAAAGAAAATGCTTGCAGTCTTGCCTCAATTGAAGACCGACCGGAAAAAATCCCGTAGATTGGATCAGTAGAAAATGAAGCTTGCGTGCCTCATGGGGTCTTTACCTCTACAATTTCTTATGTGAGCTGTGTCTCCCTCTACAGGAGACTGTTGGTACCACATCCCCTCCCCAGCTAAACAGAAGCTGAAGCAGGTGTCTGTCGGGAGGACATCCGTCTATGCTGTCGACGAAAACGGTACGGTCCCCACATCTGAGTGTGCATCTGAACTTTTTAGACATTCATATCTAAATTAGACCCTCCAAGGTGTTTCTTGGTAGAGTTTCTCAAATGAGGTGTCTGTTTGACCATCTCCTCTCCAGGCAACCTGTGGTACAGACAGGGCGTGACCCCCAGCTACCCTCAGGGCTCCTCCTGGGAACACATCTCCAACAATGTGCGGCGGGTTTCTGTAGGTCCACTCGATCAGGTGGGCATTCAACTCTCCTTTTAGGGTTAAAACCGCTCTTCTCAGGCCAATTAGGCACAACACAAGCGTTCTGTAGACTTTGGGTAGATTTGACATCACATCGTTTACATGTGTTGAAACGGTAACTTTAGAGTGATTTGGGTGTTGCTGTCGTGGGCTTTTAGGTGTGGATCATAGCAGACAAGGTCCAGGGCAGCCACAGTCTGAGCTGTGGGACAGTGTGCCATCGACTGGGAGTCCAGCCCATGGAACCAAAGGGACAATCGTGGGATTACGGCATCGGGGTAAGACTACAAAGAAGTTGTCTAAGAGTTTTCTGAGTTTTAACAACACTTGACTGTTGTCGAATTGTCACTGTACAAAATAATAAGGCAAATGTATGACACATACTGTTTCAATTCAAAGACTGCTATCTTTGCTTTTCATTTCATTTTCTAATGACACAGTTCCTGTGAGACGGAAGCCATTTTGAATAATTTGAGCAATAGCAAATTAGGGTGTGTGCATTTCTGTTCTTTAACAACTTTAAGGCGTGTTTCATTGTGAGGGCAAGAGCTTAACTGACTTCTAGTGCCCAAAGCCGGATTATAAATAAGCCCATTCCCAAACAAACTAAGGTTCCTCGTTGTGTCGCCACTTTTTAGGGTGGATGGGACCACATCACAGTGAGAGGAAACTCCATGGAGCCGCCCATCCTCCGTCTTCCCTCTTTAACAGATCCGTCTTTGCTGTCCTTCTGCAGCCCCCTCTCAGTCAGGAACACAGAAGTCAATGGCAGCACCGTGGACAGCTAGATGTGTGGATTGGTGCACACATTCCACACGAAGCCATCCAAACCTGGACTGCATTTTTAGTGATTTTCTTTTTCTTTTTTTCCTTTTAAAAACAGTCAGCGGTGAGCAGGTTGTAGTCTTTAATATCAGCTGAGCTGAGTCTGGCCATTGTCTGCAGACCACTGATTTTTGTTTCCCTCTTTGAGGAATTCCTCTCCTTGGAATGGGCATTTTCATGTTTTTTTTTTGTTACTGCCATTTGATTTTTGTCCCTCACACTGAACTTTACGGGCTCATTGCAACTTTTTAGTATTTATTCATCTAAATGAGATGTTCCTTTAATGTTGTTTGTATGTGTGGAACCTCACACGTCAGCTCAAGGTCAGGATAGAGATGTTGTGTTTTATGCAGATTATTTATTTTTTGGAAAGGGAAAAATACTTGAATTATCGTTCTGCCCCAGCTTCCAGCATCAGGACTGGTATTCTAAAGGAAATGCCAGCACACAGCAAGCTATGACTTGAGAAAAGAGTGAAGGTTTTATCTAGGTTTCCCCACCTGCCTCTGCTGTCTGTTAACCCGACTTCATTTCAGAGAAAGCAAAAAAGTGTGGATGCAACTTTAATGAGGGAAGCTGCAGTTTTGCAAAAGCACTTACAGACGTGTCCTGGAGGCACGGGGAAGACATTACAGGGAGCTTCCAAGAAAACCAAACACATTTACACTGGCCAGTGGGTCACAGACTGGCTTCCACCGACGTGCTGCACGGCTCTTTAGGACAAACGTGTTTCCCTCCCCCTTTTGTGGCGGAAACCTACATGAAACATCTTTGTGTGGGCAAAAGAGAAACCTTCACATAAGTGATGGGCTCAGACCCTTGTTAAAACCATGAGCCGTACCAGGGGGTTTAAAAAAAGCACTTTGCTGGGTCTATCCTGATGAGTGAGATTCAAACAGCTGAAACCTTCACTGAAGATGCTCCAAAGAGGGAATGTAGAGATTCTGTCAGTCTGGGTTTAGGAACGGGTCGTGAACCATGACAGCTCCCTGTCTTGCAGCTGCTCGTAAAACAAAAAAAATTACTTTAATTCATTTTTTCTAAGCATAGCCTACCACAGGTTTTCACCCCAGAGCATGTGCAATCACCATCACTGTAAAAAACAACAACAAGTGCTTAGATGGAACCTTCCTCTTTCTCAGGGGAGTTTTTGCATGCTGTCTACTTCCTTTTGGTCAGATAGTGATAGAATGACTGAGCAGTAAAGAAGAAAACCTATATTTTGGTTATAAATCTTTTAAGATGTGAATATTATCTGAATATATAATTAGTACTGTGATTGGTAAAGTCATCCTGTGTTAAGATGGAAAAGCATTTGTACTTTTGACCCACAGCAGTTTAATCACAGGACAGCTTTCCTGTCCACAACTAACAACTTAGAGCTTTTCAGACTTTAGTGTATTGTAACAGTGGTTGAGTAAATGCTGGAGACGTCCAGACCTCCGTGTGGGTTTTCTGTGAATAATGAACACCTTGCTGTTGTATTGTGCAACACCTCAGTGCTACTGTATTGTGCTCCATTTGTGCACGGTGAAAAACAAGCAAAACAGAAAGATTCCATGTCAATAAATAAACGAGTTTATTGATAACAGCTCGTCACATAGTTTCTCCCTTCCTGATGCCTCAGCTCAGAGTGTAGGAAAGAAAAAAAGAAAAGAAAAGGCGACACGTTTTTCCGGTGTAATAGTGGATCGTCAGCATGAGTAAACATGACCTCTTGCGACAACATTTCAGCATTTGGGCCGTCTACTCGGCTTTCTCTCTTTCCTGGTTGTGACAGTTATGACTAGAGGCTACCACACTCAGCTCAGCAGGTTTACCAACAGAAAATGCACAAGAAGATGACAAGATAGCGCAAAAGGGAACAAGGTCCTTCCCTAGCTTTTCACCACAGGGCAAGAGAAAAGAGGCACGTTTGCAAAAGACGAGCTCCTCTCTTCTGAGCACACCTCCCTCAAGCTTGGTCCATGTGGATGTCTCTGCAGGCTTGATGTCATCAAGTCACTCTAAAGTTTGTAAAAACATAAAAAGAAGAGTGGGAGGGGTGGCAGGAAAACCTCTCCTTAGGCCCAGACGGGTTTTTGTTGTGTTAGGTCACAACTGGGGTCCTCAGACGGAGAGCAGAACCAGGAGCATCTCAACGCTCCTCCCGATGGGTCCTCTGGATATCCGGGCTGAATGAGTGTGGGTGTCAGCTCTCCTGGCTGAAGCTCTGCATGTGGGTGAGGTACTGGGTGAGCCCGGCCTCCCCCTCCTCCTCCAGGTGCTGCTGGTAGCACTGGAGCAGCCTGGCGGCGCTGGCCTCCGGGGGCACCTGGCCCGCGGGCAGGCAGGCCCCCGACATGTCCAGGATGATGGTGGTCAGCGCCTTGATGTAGTTCTTCGCCAGGGTGAGAGTCTCGATCTTGGAGAGTTTCTTGTCCGTGTTGACGTGCGGGATGGCCTCGCGCAGCGCCTGGAAGGCGTTGTTGAGCTTGTGCATGCGCTGGCGCTCGCGCTCGTTGCTCTCCAGGCGCCGGACGCTGCGCTCTTTGGCGCCGGAGCCGTGCACCCGGCGCCGGCGGCCCCCGCCCGCCGCGCCCTGCCGCCTCCCGGCCCCGCTCCGCAGGGAGCCCCTCCAGGAGCCGCCGATCCGGATCGAGGCCTCCGAAGCCTCCGAGCCCTCCTGCTCGCTGGAGCCCGGCTCCGTGTCCGGCTCGTGCCCGTGCTCGAGCTCCAGCTCCAGCTCGGGCTCCGGGTCAGACCAGGACCTCCTGGAGGGTTTCACAGCCTTTCCCTTGGACTTCATCCCCCGCCGCCTCCCCCGTTTCAGGTCGCACAGCCTTTCGGTGATTCTGGAGGGGCGAGAAAAGCGAGCGTTCATAGATAGGCAAGACAGACGGCTCAAGTCGTGTTCCTGAAACGTGTCATTTAGACTTCGGAGTCAGAGAGTAAACCCCCCAATTAAAAGGAAGAGAGAGGAGGGGGGGGATCCTCTCCTCTCCTGTTCAAACAGCTTTGCATCCTCCAGCAGCCTATCTAATCTGGCTCTTGCAGTGTGAAAACTCCATGATGTTGCTCTCTTAATCTACACCTCTCTTATCCAGCCAGTCTGGCGATAATGTCATTTTCAAGGCTACTCCAGAATAACAGAGAAAAAGTCAGCTCTGAGCCACATCACAAGTTTTGCTTTTCGGAATAACTTCACATAATTAGCCCCCTGAAATATAACGCAATGGGCACGTTTTTATAGCGTGTTATCAGGTCCACTATAACGGTATTAAAATACTTTAGATAACTGGAGAAGTTTTACATAGATAAGGGCGGGAACAGGGTAAACCTGGGGACTTCTCCATCACCGGCCCCTCTTTTTTAATTTCCCTACTTCTATCGGGCCAACGGTCGCTCTGTAACGGACAGGACGGCTCCTCCGGTGCGGTCAGCGACACACAGGGCGGGCCCCGGGGGAGGGGGGGGGACCTGGCCGGTGTCCGCGGAGAGGACTTACCGTGGAAGTTCCGCAGTTCGTCCCCGCTCCCGTTTTTAACGCGTTTAAGTCACGGAGAGCCTCGGCCGGCCATCACGACGCGCCGTAAAGTCGGTTCGAGTCAGGGGCGTCAGGGGGGAGCGAGCGGCGGCACGCGCAGATAACCGCCCCACGCGCCGCTACCTGTAGCTAACTGATGGACACGTCGCGCTGCTCAGCCAATCAGAGAGGCGGTCCATTCACTCCTGCTCTGCCCCTCAGTAAAAAAACGGAAAAAATAAAAAAAACTAGGGGGAAAAAAACACCAAAAAATAGACCTGACAGACTGCCGAGTGCCGACTAATGCTCGGTGTTACAGAAACTATGTTAGGAGGGTGTGGGCATTTGTTGTTAGAGGTAACAATTACAAAATACTCCTAAAAAACACACGTCTGGCATCACAACCCCCTTTTCTAAATTTCTAAATGCATCCTAAACTGCCATTGACTTCCATGAGTGATGACAGTCGATGTTTGGCATGTATGAGGGGGAAAAAGCTACCATAATAACTAAAAATGCATCCTTCTCTACTTATCTTAGGGTAACCAAATTCAAGTTGAAACACACAAAAATAATGTGGCAAACTGTTTCTGAAACTGGAGTTTTAGAAACTGTCTCTGAAACTGGAGTTTCTGTTTAGTATGGATTTATTTTTGTGTTCCAGCTTTTCCAAAAGCAGGCAGAAGGTAATTTCAACAAACCCTCTGGAAGATATTAGGTGAAAAGCTCCAATTTCCCAAATGTAAACTCCAGTATAACTCGAGCTGTTAAACAACAGAGATTGCCTAAACCTGTCTACCCCATTGTTAACAGAATTTACATTGTGCTTTATCAAACGCCACTCTATCATTTGAATACAGTCACCAAAAAAAAAAAAAATGAAAGCCTAATGGGACGTTACAGGAGATGAACTCATTTAGGATATGACACAGTATTTACCTTTAGCCAAATAAACATTTTGTAGACTTTTCGTGCTCAGTAACTTTTGTACTGAGAGTAAAACAAACTGATGTACACTCTCAAACCGCCAGTGAACTAAACAAACTTAACGTGGTAAACATCACTGAAATAATTCCCCCAACACACCCCTGCCCTGTGCGGTTGTGCGACCTGTGTTAATCCTACTGTGTCCGTTTCATCTGCCTGCAGCTGTTGGCAGTTGGGATTATTGCCTCTTTCTGCCGTTGTACACCGAAGGGGGGAGTCAATTCAGCGACACACACCGAGCCTGCCTCGGTTGAATTAGGCCGTTCATTTCTAGTCATGAGAAGGGATGATCAGAAACAACCCACCGTCTCTTTAAAGTATAGAAATCATGCAACATCAGCTGAAAAAAAAACTGTAGCAAATGCCAAAACTATGCAAGCTGGCGTGGGTTAATGTTCCTTCCTGAACTAACCATATAGATGAGGGTTTGCAAGTAGAGCTACTCCGTGATCAGCAAGTCACGTCACCATACATGATTGTCATTACAGCATGTTATCTCAGACAGACGCACCTTTCATTCGAGCAAATCAATGAGCAAATATCTGAGCGTAGCCTTTTGACAAAGAGGAAACAGTGTAGTGAAAAATACTCAGGGAGGAAAAAGGTCAGAAGGAAACTAAGCACGTCCTAAGGATAAATGGATTATTTTAAGGCCGGTTATTAAAAGAATTTTGACAGCAACGTTTTGACAGTGGTGTAGAATGGGATGACAATATCATCACTTTGTTTTGTGACTTTTAAAAATACACTGTTGTACAGGTGTTTCACTCCCAGCTCCCAAATAGAAAATGCCTCAGACTTCTGGTTTTGATGTCCTTGAACAGCTTGTGTGCAAGCGTGGGTGGAGGGGGGTGGGTTGGGTTGTGTGTGTGTGTGTGGGGGGGGGGGGTAGGTGTACTTGGACTACTTGTGTTGTGGGAACATAAATCTGTTTACACAGTCATTTAGTGGTGACCTGAGGCACCCAATGCGAGTGAGGTTTTATAGTTGCAAATGCAAAGCTTTGTAATGTCTTCTAAAGAGGTCCAAAAGTTAAAAGGGTGTTCTGATGAACCAGGACCCGGCGCTGCCAGGTTTCCATCTCTGCTCAGGCACACTGTATCTAATCAACCAAACCAGGCTGGTGCCGGTCCATGGAAACACTATCTTTTACTTTTAGTTTGCTTAGTTTCTGCCTGCATCGGCTCTAAAGGCCTCCACTGTTTATTCTGCCACAGCTGCTGATAAATTCTGTGCTGAGGTTGCTTCAGTAACGCACCATACAAGCGAGGCCTCTACCTTTTCGGGAAAAAACGGTTTGTTGATGTCAATAAAATCGATCTGGGATTCGCTGTGCAGCCGTTGCCTGGAAATTCTCGAAATAGTTATTGTGACAGTTTGATGCAACCCTCCTCAAAATGTTTGGTTGTGCAGCTGGAAAGGTACCAGTGCTGTTATGCAATTGCCCCGCTCGCCCCCCCCCCCCCCCCCCCCCCACCCCCATCTCACCATAGTTGACCATGTCAAACCACAGGCTGTGAAGGCTCAATGCGGTGTCACGCTGTGCCGCTTGGGCCATGATGTCATAAACATGAAGTGCTTTGAATCCATTTGGAGCAGAGAGTGGGGAAAACAACGGTCAAAATCCCTGACTCATAAAAGCGGAGGGAGGTGGGGAGATGAGTTTGGGGAGGAGAGGACGAGATCTGGACGATTAGTCAGTTTTTCCATTAGACCAAGGCTAGCTGACTGAAAGAAAAACAAGTGTGGATGTCACATTAGGGCCATGGCGACAGAGGGACGGCCTTTTGGCAGAAGGCTGGGGCTGAAATAGAGAGGCTGCTTTGACCAGAGCCGTGTCATAAAAATCACCACAATCTGCTCAGTACGCGTGTGTGCATGTGTGCGTGTGTGTGTGTTCCACTCACCCTTATCTCACAGCTCAAGGTCTGCCTCGGTGACATAGGTGAGGAACAGGCAGCTTTGGGACAGGGAACAACGCTCTGGCTTGGGCAGCCCAAACCTGCCCCACGATGGCAGGGAAGGGGTTTGCGAGCTTCTGCCCTGCTGAAATTGGCAGGTGTTGTCCAACGCCCCGAAGTCGTCTTCCCACTGCAGACCTGCGGGTTAAAATCCACGTCACACCCGGTGACAGTGGACTCAGCATGGCCCAGATTCAGCAGGGATTGTAAACTTTAACGTGGACCTGTGTCTGTAACACGCTTAAAGATCACCTAAAAGTGTCTCAAAAGACAACCAACTCAAAAACTCTGCAAAAAAAATGCATCTGTAAATTTGTGAGAGAACATCTTGGTCCAAAAAGCATCCTTCAATGAGCTATGCCTTCTATGGCAAGTTCAGAGCGTTAAGCTTCTCAATCTCATGTTGGTTATAGTTGTGTGCAATACTATTTATATTATATTTAGCATCACTTGGAGAATGAATGCATCGCCTAATTTGCATTAGGATGACAAGCTCTGGTCAAAAGTAGGCGGGGGGTTAAGGGGCTGTTGTGTGATGGAGGAATTACAACTGCCAATTCAGTACGTGTCCTTACTTGTTAGACACTTTTAGTATGTTTCGTTGGATTGTGATCTTAAGCCTTTGAGTCAATACTGTTTTTGTAGACTTTCTTATTTGTAATTTATTTTAGTGATCAGGAATGTACCAGTTCTTTCTAGTAACTCCCTCATAGTGATAAGTAGTTCAATGTGACTTTATTGCCAGGTGTAGAATTAGAGTATAAGAACTGAATTTCATCAAATATCCTAACATTTCTTTCCTGCATGGACATTTTTGTGGACTACACAAGAATCTTATTGATCACACATATTAATATTGGGTCACGAATTGGTTACCCAGATATTTCGACAGAATTATACATGAATAATTCTAATAATTCTGTAGATTGAATACAGACATGACAATTAAAAAGATTTATTGTTCTTCCTTTAAGTGTTTTTGACTTCCACATTACCAGTTTCTTCTGATGTGACCATTAGCGGGTCGCCGGAACTGCTGTTTGGTGGAAATGTGAAATTCTCAGAGTGAAGCTCCACAGTGGGACTCTCCTAAGAATCAACAGGTCACAGTGAATTTATACCAAATGGATACATGCGTACCTTCCTTGGCTTGGTTAAACTATGACTGTGTATTATATTATGTTTCAGCAAGAGCTAACAAAAATCTCAACAATGAACCCTTCATTTCCCTTGTATAATAACCCACCAAAAGCTCCCCAAAACAAAGAATGAGGAGAAAACAGTGGATAAGTACCTGATCAAACAGATAGACCATGACATCTTCATCAAAGGACACACTCTTCCTCATCTTCACGTTCTTCTCTTTGCCCGGTGCCTCTTTTAGATTGTCCTCATGATGGTTTTCGAGGT